GCACTTGGTGAAAGAGACAGTTCGAAAGCGAAGAAATCTAAAGTCACTGTTGACACAGTAACAAGTGAGAGTGAAATCTACATATGTCATGTATGTAATCAGGAATGCAAATGGGAACCAGCATTGACTCAAGATGAAAGTGTGGCATGTGATAAGTGCAACTGCTGGTTTCACTACAAATGCGTTAATTTAAAGGGAACTGAGAGTTTTCTGACCAAGCAAAATTCCACCTGGTTTTGTACTGGCTGCTCAAAGAAAGGAAAGGGCCGTGGAAAGGGTAGAGGAAAACGTTCTTAGTTTGGTAAGGAATTCTCAGAATATTATTGCAAAGGAGCAACTTGTATTTGGTAAAATCAGATGTGTTATTGATTTGTGACAGTTTGTTTATGCCTGTGTGAGAAAGTTGCATATTGACATGTCTATTTATAGAGTGTACTAAGGATAGAAAACAAATATACTCTTGTTTCCTGTTACCCGACCTATCCTACATTTTACCCTCCGACCCTAAAAGTTTTTTTTTTATTATTTGGGATGGGGGGGATACTTTCCTGAAATACTAAAGTCGACCAACAATATTTACAGAACTAATTGATACATCAAAAGTGTACAGGATACCTTTACTTTATAAATCTTTATTAACAAACTTGCATTTTAAACTGTTAACATAACTGTTTTCTTGTTATTACATGCTATATGTTCTGCATTCATTGAGTTTTTAAAATGAAATTTTTTCTCAAAATAATTTTTATTCCTACCTACCTACCATATTGGTCAGGGGACAGGAAACAAGGGTATATTTTCTTTTTTTATCTAAAATTAATTTTATTTTGATATCTGTATTAATCTATCAATTACTTATGCTTTCAAAATCAAAGGCAGCAATTGAATGGTTGATTGATATGATGATTATGAAAAAAAACAAGATGTGTTTGTGAAAAGTTATGCACCCGGTGAGAACAAAGTTTGAAAAAGCATATAGGTCACAGTCAAGGTCTCAAGGTCATTAACCTTGGTGTCATTTGAAATAACTTGTTTCGTGGAGCAACAAATACCAAATGTTATGAAGTATCTATCAGAAGTTCAGAAGATATGGTGAAGGTTCATAAATGCTATTATTAGCATATATGTCACAGTCAAGATCACAAGGTCATTGGCCTATCACAAGGTCATTGACCTGTGTGTCATTTGTAATAGCTTAATTAGTGGAGTATGCATACCAAAAATAAAGTCTCTATCTTTCAAGGTTTAAAAGTTATGATAAAGGTTAAAGTTTGCAGACAAAGATGCTATTTTTAGCATAAAGCCACAGTCAAGGTCACATGGTCAATCACCTTGGTTTCAAGAGTTCAGTTATAGCACAGGGGCTTGTGTAGAGTCAATAAATCAGTAAAAAAAATTAGTATCTTGGATACTGTATAGGATACACTTGTCTTTTTTCTCCTAGATACAGTGTACTAATTTTTTTAACTGATTTATTGTCTCTACACAAGCCCCTCTGATTATAGTGGGGTATATGCATACCAAATATTAAGTCTCTGTTTTTTATGGTTCAGAAGTTATGAGGAAGGTTAAAGTTTGCAGACAAACAGATCAGACAAAAACAATATATGCCTCCGATATATTTGGGCGCATAAAAAACATTAATATCTGAAATATGAATATCTGCAATTTTCTATTGTTCATAATGATGTGAACATATATACATACCACTAAAATAAATCAATATTAATTAATCAAAATAATCTATTAAATATTTAGAATTGTAATATCATAAAATATTTACCATAAAGCAGCTGCGAAGTGGTTAGACATGACGATATCTCTTCTAGGAATAAATCTTCAAAAATATTTGAATTTTCCCGCACTCCAAATTACTTCCCTTTGTTTTCAAAACTCATAAATGATAAAATAAAAAACAAACCCAACATTGACCTAGATTTTATTATGATAAATTATCTTTTGATTTTTAATGACATTAAATATGCTTCAATATTTTTTTTTACTTGTAAAATATAACTTTTAATATTTAGAATCTTCGCAGTCTCGGAGCAAATCGTGACGTCACGTCATGGCTTCTCGGTAAGACGAATGTTTACAGAAATCAGAATAAAGTACCGATATAGAGCTCGAGAGGTCGAATTCCCAGAAATTTTAGTAAGGGTTTAATTGTTTGAGGTAAATCATATCGATTGTTATTGATTTTATTGCCAGGTCAAATCCAATTTCGTCGCGACAGCTGATTTGTAAAAAATCGCGTTGCATTCCTGTTCGCTTCGCTCACTTCGTGAGCGAAGCTCATGGCTAAGATTTTACTGATTTTCACTTTATTTTTAGTTTATTGATAAAACTGCCGACTCCTTCGATTTATTTTTAAATAAAAAATCTTTCTATGTTGTATTGATGACCAAGACGCAAAATTACGATATTTACGACATAGGCCTAAGAAAGTCGACAAGTGAAATCGACATGATCGAGAGGGGAAGAAGACGGGATCGCCCGTTTCAGAGCGACAGGAATGCCCAATGGCACTCCGTTAAAAGAGCCAACCGACAGAAATTTTAAAACATTTAAAAAATCGCCGATATCATAATCAGGCCATGTACATTCTCGAAAGCGGCGCCCCAAACATACCAGCCAAGAGCGCCGAAGTGTGTTGACGACGTTCCAGTAGCAGTGGAAAGCGAAAAATGTAGGTTTCCAATGCTTTCAAACTTATTGAAATAGCAATGTTTATGCATTATAGATACAAAAGTTTCAAAATACCTAGTATACTGTCACATCTCAAACTGAAACATAGCATAAACATGTTAGATTCTACATACATCTGTACATGTACGGAACGTTAGGCATATTCGTGCAGACGACAGCATTCGTATTATCCTTTTTATTGCAACTTTAGCTCGTAGTATATGATAAATTTCCTTTGATATTGTTAATGCAGAATATCTATCCCAAATTTATAGACATACCGTACGAAAATAATAATCTAGCATCTATAATTTTTAGCTGTTTACATTCGATAAGAAACAGCAGTACTGTAGGTCGCTTCAATATATGGCGGCCTATGGGAATTAAAAAATGTTAATATTTCTGAAACATAATAGAACATAGAAGTTATTTGATTCTAAACTACAGGCGTGGGTTCATAAAAACAAAGTTAGATAGACAAAATAATGATTTTACATTTTTTGAACAATGATATTACCAGTAATTATAATCTATTTTTTTCTAAAATAATTTTTTCAGGTAAGTCTTGTCACAAGAATCACAAATGAAGAACTTTAGAAGAGAGCAGGGTTTTAGAACCAATTAAATCAGATGGAGAAAACCATGCAAATCAGATTGAGAAAGTGGGACTGGATTTGACTAATCCCATGGAAGCCACCATCTAACACCACAAACCAGGACCCAATCCTGAACCCACAGGGCAAGAGAAAGAGAGGACATCTAACAAACTATTATGAAGTTTTATGTGTTAATTGATTACTTTTTGTTCATTAAAAGCTTTTCTTAACAAGATTGTAATTATTACCTGAAATTATCACACTAATTTTGAATATTTGGTGAATAAAAACACATACTTTTAAAGCCTAAATGCCTTGATTTATTTTCATTAAATGCTGAAAAGAAATAGGGGGTGGTGATATAAAAAATATCAAAACTTTCTTATATGTGCACTAACCCCTACTTTTCATGCTATGAAAAGGAGCCATAATACCTAAAGAAAGTGTACAACAATTTTCTCAAAAAGTTTAATTGTAGAAATATGTTTTTCTTTTGTTTCTCGAGCAATTTTATAGGGAAAAATTTGCCTAATTTTGACACTGGTGAACAACATTTTTGAGCACAATTTATTTAATTGGTATTTATTTGCTCATATTTTGCTTTAATAATCAACTTTGCAATAATTTCAAGTAAATCTAATCAAAATTAAGTTTAAAATTGATTGTATTTATAAGTTTATGGGGTATTTTATGGACTAATAGGTTTTTTAATGAAATTTCCCATGCTGTATTTTGGCCTAAGTTCGATGGGTTGAATCTCTCTTAGATGAACACTAACATACACTTTTCTTGTCTTTAAATTATTCCTTCGATATTACTCTTTCAGAAAAATATAAGCACGTGGAAAGTTTAATGCACGTTTTTTTTTCCGCGTATCAGCAGAATACATCACTAATTGATATTTTGTTTCACTAAAAATATTTTCAAGGGTGATAATGGAAAGCTTCAGTATGGTTTTTTTAATGAGAAATAGATACTGTAGGTATGAAAGTAAATATTATTTTCATATAAACATATTTCTTATTTTATTGTGAGATAAAAATATTGATCTTTTTTTTATTTACCAATCGGGTTTTCTTCACAACATGATTTGACATAATCTCATTTCTGAAAAAGTAAGAAACGCTTCATACTTCAGAATAATTTCCATCTGAATCTAATCTATTGTTGTTGATGAAAATCAATGTTTGAAATTGAAGACAAAATTTGTGAAATTTGGAGCAGAGGGAGATTTCATCTTATATCATTGTTAATAGGAGGAAAATATTTCTCTACAAGTCAAATAGGCAAATCATAGAAAGGGAATATTTTTAAAAATCATGAATGTCCCAAAGAACACACCTGTCGCTAGCTTTATAAGAGATTTAAGCATTATCAAATATTCAAATAATTCCAACGAATTTTAAATCATTATCTCAAAATTCGCCATTTTGATTAAATATAAAATCTGAATCAGAATTTTTCCACTACTTTTTGTATCTCTCCGATTTATGTAACACAACATGTAACAAGTGTGTCAGCACAAATCTTATCGAAATCAATGAATATGATATATCATTGTTATATTATATGTTAAATGTTATAGAGATATTAAATGTATAGTGTTTTGAATACTCTTTAAGAAACATGTTTGTTTTGTAAATATGAAAAAATATTCCATCATTTTTATTCTCTCTCTTTTTTTTTTTTTTTTTTTTGATAAATGTTTATATATTGAGGCTAGTTTCTAATCTTTCAGAAAGCTACTTGATTTTTTGGTTATTTATTTAATGCATTTATGTATCCTCCATGTGATGGAGAATCGTAAGTTTACAAGTTTGTTTAACCATACAAATTTGCAATTATTTACAGCTCAAATTAATTTCCGAAGTTATTCTGTGCAATTAAACATGCATTGAAAATGTTCATAACAATATTTGTTGAACTAAAATCCTTCTCCGTATAAAGTACTCCTACACTATTATCTCACTTGCTCTATGTGCAGTTTGTTTTTCAGAAACTTAAGATATTTCTTTTTGAATTTCGTATCTTCTCGTGAGAAACTTTGTAATTTCTTCAGTCAAAACTTTCCCTTTCAATCCGTTTTTATCCGGATCAGATCTATCAGGATGATAGTGGGTAACTGCTTTTTGTAAGGTTTTCTTAATATTTTCCTCGGCGTCTTTTTCCAGCTTGAATGCTTCATTTTTTGGTGGATAAGTGACATATACATATTTCAAAAACTCAATATTAGTCATTTTCATGTGTTTTTCCTTGATCCCTTCTAGTTCGCTCTTAATTTCTTCTTTAACCTTTTCTTTTTCCTTGTCTTGCTGTTCTTGTTCATGCATGACAGTTTCCTCTTGATATTTTTTCAGCATTTCAGTGCATTCCTTGTACCAATCTAAAATAAAAACAGCCAAATGTTTTGTTAAAAAAAGAAGTGGTTTTAAAAAGTAAAATGAGGTTTAGTACCAGTATGATTCAACAGAGAGACACTTTAATTCTGTTATACCGGGGTAATACTCTTACCACATGAAACGAACGTGCGGGGTGCCATAGATGCAGCCATCTGAATGGCCCTTTTAAAATACTCCTTCGCCTGAGGTTTGAATTTCAGAACCTTTGCATACACGTTTCCTATCCTGGCTAGCGATATGGCCTCTTGCTCCATGTCCAGCTCTCTGGCGAGAAGAATCGACTGTTTGTACCAGTCTATTATATCCCACACCATGTTCATGTCCATTGTCTCATAGTAACGGGTGATTTTCTCCAGTAACTCGTCTCCTGTGCATAGAACATCAAAAAGATATGAGTCTTCTATTCAACCCAAACCAGTCAAAACATTATTTAGAAGTATAAAAATACCTACAATTGTGTTTTACAAATTTATAAGCATAACTAATTCAAAACTTACCCGTTTGTCTGGCTTTTGATGATTCTGCAATGCACATGTGCATGTGTACATCATTTTCCAATACCTCCACCTCACTGAGAATATCTGGTAGTTCCTTTCCATGTTTTCTAGCCTCATGCATAGGGAAGTGACACTCGGCCATCTGATGTTTACATTTCATATAATCCCCCTTTTGCCATGCGTTGATCCCTTCATGAAAATGGTGCTGAGCAAGCTGAACATAGACATTAGCAATAACATCGGGAACAGAAAGAAGTTGAACAATTGATGTAAGGTTCCTAATCCTGCACTCAAATGAAAATTCGGAAAGAAAATTTTCGATGTCTCTGAAACATTCAACATATTTTGAGGCGATATCATTAAACCAATTACCATCTTTGCATATATTGCCTTTTATATATGCATATTGATAATTTTTCAGAGCCTCTTTAAAGTTGTGGACGATAAGTTCTATTCTAGCTTGTTTTGAAATTTGCAATTTTCCTATCCGCCATTCACAAAGAGCCAGATTTTTGGCCGCAGAACATTTGTCATCATCAATTCCGTCAGCATCAAAGGCCGTAGAACATAAAACTACAGATAAGTTATGTATTTTCTGAATTTTTGTTTTCTTCAGGATAATAAAACAAAGAAGAGCCCGTGTGCCACATCGCTCATCTGAGTAACTTTGGCCATGCTGTTACAAGAATCCCCCTTGTAATACTTATTGTACCCTTTCCCCCCTACCACCAGGGGTCATGATGAAGACAATTTAAAATGCAATTAAGAATACGAATTACCCCCAGGTTGCTTCAACATAAGTTTCAGCTTTTATGGCCCCGTGGTTCCTGAGAAGGAGAATTTAAAAGGAATCAAATTAAAACTTTTTTTATCATGGACCCGCCCTACCACCGGGGATCATGATTTGAATAATTTAGAATCTACATTACCACATAGGTTTCAGCTTTTCTGGTCCAGTGGTTTTTGAGAATATTTTAAAGATTTTTCTTTCATATCTCAATTTAAATCTTCAGTTCTCTATTGCAGCCCCGGCTACCCCCAGGGGTCATGATTTGGTCAATTTAGAATCTTCACTACCTCAGAGACATTCCACAAAAGTTTCAGCTTTTCTTGTCCAGTGGCTCTTGAGAAGAAGATTTTCAAAAGATTTTTCGCATATATTGCAATGTAAAACTATTAACATCCATGCTACTTTGGTCCCGAAATCCAAGGTGATATAGTTTGCTTACAGTGATTGATATTCCGGGCAAGTTCATCTTTAAGCATCAAAAACTGAGTCTCACAACTGCATCGCTCCTTTACCATTACTGGAGATCATACAAGATGTTGTTCTGACGAAAACGCTTTACCAAGTAAGAAGTGATGATGTACTCCATGATTTTATGTACAGTACTAGTAGGTAAGTAGTATTGCCATTTGTTCTTCAATCATACTGCCCTTTCTTAAGTTTTACATTAACTTTATCTGTGCACCACTGGAAGAGGGTGGGGGATGTTACTGTAACTTTTTTGATATCTGATGATCATTCACTTTAATATTACATAGCAGAGAGTGGAGGGGTCTAAAACACACTGAATATTACATACAGATTTTTTTAGTTAGTGCTACTTGCATATCAGGTAGAGCTGTTTGAGATACATACCTCTGATACAAGTTCCTTGCTCTTTGAAGTCTATCAATTTGGATAACATGTCCAATTCCATGCGCACATGCCGACTTGTATATCTTATTGCCCTCCTCGCGAAGAAGAGTCGATGGCGAAGCAGACATATTGAAAACACCAGTCTAATCCAAAACAATTATAGTTTCTACAATATGGTAACATCACTTTGCATTTAAACTACATTTATTTCAAAATTTATTACATAATACACATGTGGATTTAGTATGTTAAGGTCTTAATATCGACAAGGCATAAAATTTGACTGTTTCATCACTTGATTTATATCTTTTCAGAAGAGATGAGGTGGTTGTCGCTTTCTTTAAGGACAACTGATATATGCTTTGAAATAACCCGTTATTTTGGTTAAATTAAAAGTTGAGCTAAATATTTATATCGTATAAGAGCTTCCGTATATTGTTTTGGATTAAAACTTAAAAGTAAGCTGTCAACAGTAAAAGTCAGCGCTACTCGCAAAAGTCCATTAGGCCTCCTTAGCGACAGATACAAAGACAGACGCATGAGATTTACATGCATATTAGGCATCCTTAGTTCCTGACCTATCGCTTGGCGAAAATTACATTCAAGGAGTTATCTCTGAGAAAACAAATAGAAATGGAAATATTAAATAATCTCTCTTAGAAGCCATACAGAAACCTGTCTTTGACACGCACCTCCCTTTCCTTGCTTGTTAACTTCATTGTTTGATGAGGGAAAGAAAAAAAACTAATCTTTCCTTGATTATCTTGAAAATAAATAACCTGTTGACGTTCTTGACAGGTCTGAAAAAGTTAAAATAAATGATATAACTCGAAATGCCCCCCCCCCCTTCTCCCCCGAGAATCAAATGGTCTTTTTAACAAATCCTGATTGTTTTTGTTTTTCGATCAAATTAAATTCCTTTTGTTGACAAACAAGCATTATCACATTATTCAGATGTACACGGAAGTGTCAGCAGCTTACTTTCCGTTGATTTCTTAAATGTAAATTTATAAAAATCTCATTTAAATACAAGAAAGTTGTCATGCATGGATTCCACGATACGACCACGTATAAACTCGGAACGGTTACCCCTTGACAGATTCGTGTATGACTGGGAGTACTCGTAATGGTCAAGCTATGCAAAACTGATAATGCTGGATCCACCCCCTGTGCTACCTGGTCGATTTGAATGTACCAGATAAGAGGATATTACAATTGTATATCCTTATTAGAATACCCGTGACGTGCATAAATATGTTTCAATAGTTGACATTTATCAGGAAATTGTGCCCCGTTGCTTTCGAGCATAAATATATCTTCACAATCAAACTATATTACTTTATCGTCCCTTTTTCATCCATATCACATATAAGTTTTAATTAGGAAATCAAAGCTTACTTTCACATTAGACAATAAAACAACTGATGAATATTACTTCTAAAATAGCTGAGGTATTGAAATTAAGGGGAATATCCTATCTTATTTTGCTACATAAATCCTGTTTCACTTTACAAAGTAACTCACCTGTCGCAATCGCATCATCTCGGGTCTTTCCGTCAGAGGTCGGAAAAACAACCTCGAATGTATTAACATCACCGGATGTTAAAAATTTATACATTTCCTGTTTATTCAAATATTAGATAGACTGGGTTAGAAGTCCCTTCTATAGTATGTTGTAGGTAATATCATTACATTGAATAAAGTTAAACTCCATATTCCACAGATAAAAGGTCCCCATGCATTTATTTCAAAGATCGTGAAAAGGGAGGGTTGTAATGGCGTCTACCATATACATTCGAGGTCGTTTTTCCGCTAGTCGGAAAGGCCCGAGAAGTTGCGATTGTCACCTGTCGTTCACCCAGCTATTTCATCAATACAGTGTACTTTCATCTATACTTCGTGGAAGTTTAAATGAAAGTAGGGCCGTGTCTAATGGAGCGTTTAATATTATCTTTAAATAGATACTGTACACTTGTATGCTACATTATAATATTGCATTTGTTATTAATACATGTACAAGGACTGTTCGAAAATTTTTGAGACAGTGTGTATATTTTTCTTTCTAATGAACGTATTTCATATACGTTTAAAAACATTAAGAATTGATATACTCAAGCACAAGATATAATTTACAAATATTAAATTTCGTCTCTTCAGACAGTGGTATATAAATGTGCCCATGGTAGGGGTTACGAAATCAGATATTGAAAATATGTTACACTCAACGTTCAACCCCCCGCTGGACCAATAATAAGAGCAAAAAGAATTCAATTTATCTACACATTTTTTTATCAATTTTATCATGTCGCTCCGTCGAAGACGGGCGACATATTGCTATTTTTATGCTGAAAAAAATTGTTTGCGCTGGTTCTAAGGATATTATGTAGCATTTTTCATGTTTGATGCTGAATATTCCAATTATTAGGGAATGCTTGGGCACTTAAAATTAAAGACAAAAATATCTACCGAAACAAGATATCATGACACATTTTCGTGACATGTAGTAGGTGTATGATTCTTTAGGCCCGATTTCTGTGAGCGGTCCGATGAAAACAAATGGAAGTAACTTACATGTACTTTCTCTGTGTATTATTACCGTGGGTATGATTTTTCTTTTTATGAAAACGTTAATTCTACATTACTATTTTTTTGGGGGGGTGTCATATGGAATACAATGTAAATGTGTACTAGAAGATAAATGTATGGAAAAAAGACGAATAAAAATATCTTTGGCCCACGAGGGGGGGGGGGGGACTGTCCACAAGTGCCTGTCCTTTTTGCTTCTAAAATATTACTCTAATATCAAAACTACAAAACTATTAAGGACGGTTGATACAAACTTTTGCCATAAGAATAAAAAAAATAACCACTTGAGCCGTATTCTAATGAGTAAAATGAACAAGTTTCACCGCGAAGTTTTTAATTTTTCATACAAAGTTTCACAATAATGGGAATTGAAGTGAAATATATTGATATACAGATTAATAACTAAAGGATGATTGCAGAAAGGTAAAATTTTGAGCATCATAGAAGGTTTACAATTTTTACATATGTAATATTTTAAGGATTTTAATCTTGGTATCATTTGCAACAACTATAGGCCTAGAGATATATATCAATGCATGTGGGGTTTTTTTTGTATCATCTGTCCTTAATGAAACTTTTTTAAACAATGAAAGGCTTAAAAAATTATGAAGTAATTGAAGTAATAATTATGGACTTAAGTTTTATAATATATGAAATATGATTTTCCTTCCAAACCACAATTTGACTGGATTTGAAAGCTTAGATTTAAGCCAAAAACTTGAAATTTTAATTGATTTATGTACAGTGGCTTATTTCGTAAATGATGTAGTATAACGGATGTAAACAGGTGCGAAGTATTAAGTACTATACATATATTAACTTCATTTGCAGAAAAAATGAAACAGCAGCTTGTTTATTAAATATTTCATGAGTGTAAAGAAAAAAATGGTTAATGAATTATAAAGTAGTGGGCTTCAAGATGATTAGCATAAGAGAGTTCATTATGTCCTTAAAACTATATGGATGAAGAAATTATTACTACAGCACAATGGGCTAGATTGTTTTCTTAGATATTGACATTAAGAATTGTATGTTGTCATTGTTGTGTGCAAGAGCTTGTTGTCCAAAAAAAAAAAAAAAAAAAAAGAATGATTTTTAGCTCACCTCAACGAAGTTGGGGGAGCTTATTTGATACCCTCGGCGTCGGTGTCGGCGTCCCAGGTTAAGGTTTATGGAGCTTTTTTTCTTTGTAAGTAGTTTTATGCCTTTTAGAAGCATGTATGGAACATGCTTCTAAAGGTTTCATTGTACTAGATGAGGTTTCAGATGTTGCAATTTCAACAAAAGAATGACCAGGTGAATGTTTTTGAGCAGGTTAACATTTTTGGTGCAGTTTTTGGTGTAGGTCTTATTTCCAAGTAACTATAAGCCCCATGATGACCAAACTTGCATGGATATTACATCTAATGATGCATACAACCAGACTTGATTTGGATGTTGGATGTGACCTACTTTTTCCGGACGAGTGAACAGGCTAATGTTTTGGTGCAGTTCTCATTTCTAAGTAACTATTAGCCTTATGGTTACCAAACTTGCATGGATGATGCATCTTAGGATGTACACTACCAGACTTAGTTCGGATGCTGGATCTGACCTACATTTTCTGGTTGAGTGAACAGGTTAATGTTTTGGTGCAGTTCTCATTTCCAAGTAACTATGAGCCCTATGTTGACCAAACTTGCATGGATGATACATCTAAGGATGCACACAAACAGACTTGCTTCGGATGCTGGATCTGATCTACATTTTCCGTTGTATCATAACATGTTGCTCTAAAAATTAGCTAACATGATTTCTATTAAAATAAATGACGATAAGGAACATTGTCTACGTATTTTTTGAATGATTCTCGTATTTATCTGTAAAAAATGTACCAATAGAAACATCTCCATAGGTGGGTTGATATCCTCTATTAAGACAATGTATGAATTACAAAAATATATATCTCATAAAAATAAAGAAAATCATTTATGAAAGCCGGAGACCTTTGTCAGATTTATTTTAATAATCCTCTCTCCCCTCCCCCTCTCTCTCTCTCTTTGTTTTAATGTTTGTTTTCTTTTTGTAAAAAAGAAATTGAAAATGCAATAAATTAAATTAATATATGTTATAATTTATGTAATAGCTTATATCGTAAACGATGTAATATTAAGTGTGTAAACAGGTGAGAAGTATTACTATACATGTAGCTTCATTTTCAGGAAAACGAAAAAAGAAGCATGTTTAGTAAATATTTCATAAGCTAGACTACAGTCGTTAATGTAAGTTTTTTTTTTAATCTGTCGTTAATTTTTCAACTTGATACGTGTGTCCAATGTTTTTATTAAATAAATATATTTCTCGTATCATATATCAAAGATATCTTTAAATGAAACATTTATTTTTATCATTTTAATCAATGAATAATCGCTTCAACTCATTTTATTTTATTTTTATTGATAAAGTAAAGAACTTTGAATGATACCGGTATTTTGTTCCTCAACAACTCCGGTGTTTTCGTCACTTATTGTCAACTCTGACTTTGAGGTATCTAGAGTCCATATACCATGACTGGTAAATCATCTAAGTGATAATGAAACAAATCAAAGTTAAGTAGTATAAATATATATAGTGTAAATGCAAGTCTAGACTTTATTTTGATAATTCTATGATTAACTTCCTGTACGCCTGTCACGTGTATTGGCGAGTAGCCAATTCTCGGAAACTTACCTTAAAGTAGGGGCCTACTCGTGGTAAACCGGAAGCCGGATTTAGCTGTTTTTGTGTTGAACGTAAGAATGATTAAAATTACCTTTCCTATCATATCTTTAATAAAATAGTGCATTAATTTTATACATTTTTAGTAATATGTTCTTTGCCTTATTTCTCCGTGTTCTTAAAGTTTGCCAGACAGGTTAACAGACATCCCCAATCCATTCTGTTGTTGAGATGAAAACATAGAATGTCATTGTTGAAGTACTTGTACTAGTTAAATCATTGTCAATAGGAGGAAGATATTTCTGTACAAGTCAAAAAGGAAAATCATAGAATGGAACGTTTAAAAAAATCTTGAATGTCCCGAAGAACACATTTGTCGCTTGCTTTTTAAAAGATTTAAGCATCATCAAATATACAAATACGTATAATGTAATAATTATTCCAACGAACTTCAAATCATTATCACAGAAGTTCGCCTGTTTAATTATAGAATAAAATATGAATTTCTCCACTACTTTCTGTATCTTGCATATGTATGTAACACTAACAGGTGTTTCAGCACGAATTTAATCGAAATCAATGAAAACGCTATATTGTAACATTGTTATATTTTAAAAATGTTAAATGTGTAATGTTTTGAATACCGGTACTCTTGAAGAAACATGTTTACTTTGTAGACATGAAAAAAAAATCATCATTTCAGCAGTTTTATTCTTAAAAATTTTTTTATTATAAATGTTTATATTATATTGAGGGTAATTTCTAGTTTTTCAGAAAGCTATTTGATTTTTATGGCTATATTTGTAATTTATTTATTTATCTTTAAGAGATAGAGAATCGTAATTTTACGAGTTTGTTAAACCATACAAATTGTTAATATTTTTAGCTCAAATTAATTTCAGATGTAATTCTGTGCAATTACTGTATACAGGGAAATTTTCGCCCCCGTTTTATTTTCGCCCCTTTCGCCCTACCCTCATTTGAGCGAATTTAAAACGGGGCGAATTCAAAGAATACTGTATAATTTCTTCAACAAAATTATGACTGGGCGAATTTAAAACGGGGCAAAATTGTTTGCAAGTATAAAAGGGCGAATTTAACACGGGGCGAAAATAATCCTGTATACAGTATACAAGTCATGCATTGAAAATGTTTATAACAATATTTGTGGAACTAGAAACCTACTTCATATAAAGTCCTCCCACACTATTACCTCACTGACTCTGTGTACAGATTGTAATTCAGTTACTTAAGATATTTCTTTTTGAATTTCGTATCTTCTCGTGAGAAACTTTGTAATTTCCTCGGTTAAAACTTTCCATTTCAATCCGTTTTCATCCGGATCATATCTATCAGGATGATAGTGGGTAACTGCTTTTTGTAAGGTTTTCTTAATATTTTCCTCCGCGTCTTTTTCCAGCTTGAATGCTTCATTTTTGGGTGGATAAGTGACATATACATATTTTAAAAACTCAATATTAGTCATTTTCTCGTGTTTTTCCTTGATCCCTTCTAGTTCGCCCTTAATTTCTTCTTTAACCTTTTCTTTTTCCTTGTATTGCTGTTCTTGTTCATGCATGACAGTTTCCTCTTGATACTTTTTCAGCATTTCAGTGCATTCCTTGTACCACTCTAAAATTTTAAAAACCCAAATATTTTGAAAAAAGGGAAATATTTTTAAAACGTACCATGAGGGTTAGTACCAAAATGATTCAACATAGAGACGATTTAATAATGTTATACCGGGATAATACTCTTACCACATGAAACGAACGTGCGGGGTGCCATAGCTACAGCCATCTGAATAGCCCTTTTCAAATACACCTTCGCCTGAGGTTTGAATTTCAGAACCTTTGCATACACGTTTCCTATCCTGGCTAACGATATTGCCTCTTGCTCCATGTCCAGCTCTCTGGCGAGAAGAATCGACTGTTTGTACCAGTCTATTATATCCCACACCATGTTCATGTCCATTGCCTCATAGTAACGGGTAATTTTCTCCAGTAACTCGTCTCCTGTGCATAGAGCATCGAGAAAATATGAGTCTTCTATTTATGCCTAATCATGTGTTGTAAATTCAGAAATGTTCAACTCAAACAAGTCGAAAAATTAATTAGAAGTATCAAAATTGTGTTTTACATATTTTCAGGTACAACTAATTCCAACATTACCTGTTTGTCTGGCTTTTGATGATTCTGCAATGCACATGTGCATGTGTACATCATTTTCTAATACTTCCATCTCACTGAGAATATCTGGTAGTTCCTTTCCATGTTTTCTAGCTTCATGCATAGGGAAGTGACACTCGGCCATCTGATGTTTACATTTCATATAATCCCCCTTTTGCCATGCGTTGATCCCTTCGTGAAAATGGT